TTCTGGAAGGTTCTCCCATCTCCACAGAGGAACCCTGGAGCTCTGTCAGATTGACAATCTGGTTTTTGGTCACCTCCCTGACCAAGGCGGTTCTCCCCAGATTGCTCAGTTTCGCCAGCTCTAGGAAGAGTCCTGGTGGTTCTAAACTTCTTTCATTAAAGAATGATGCAGGCCACTTTGTTTATGGGGACCTTCAATGCTGCAGAATTTTTATGTACCCTTCCCTAGATCTGTGCCTCGACACAATCCTGTCTCAGAGCTCTACGGACAATTCCTTCGACCTCATGGCTTGGTTTTTGCTCTGACATGCACTGTCAATTGTGGGACCTTATTTAGACAGGTGTGTGCCTTTCCAAATCATGTCCAATCAATTGAATTTACCACAGGTGGACTCCAATCAAGTTGTAGAAACATCTCAATGATGATCAATGGAAACAGGATGCACCTGAGCACAATTTCGAGTCTCATAGCAAAGCATCTGAATACTTATGTAAATAAGGTATTTCTGTTTTATTGTTTTTATAAATGTGCAAAAATTTCTAAAAACCTGTTTGTTTTTGCTTTGTCATTATGGGGTACTGTGTGTAGATTGATGAGGGAAACATTTTTATTTTTTTACATTTTAGTCATTTAGCAGACGCTCTTATCCAGTGCATACATTTTTCATACTTTCATACTTCATACAGTGAATTATAAGTGAAATAATCTGTCTGTAAACAATTGTTGGAAAAATTACTTGTGTCATGCACAAAGTAGATGTCCTAACTGACTTGACAAAACAATAGTTTGTTAACAAGAAATGTGTGGAGTGGTTGAAAAACGAGTTTTAATGACTCCAACCTAAGTGTATGTAAACTTCCGACTTCAACTGTACATCCATAAAAATGATGCTGATTCATGATTTCGACTGGCTGAGAAAAGCTGCCTGCCTCTCTGTCTCATCCCAACTCCAGACACATTCATGACTATGGGACAGCTGGAGATCGAATTTAAATATTGAAACAATGTTGCAAATGTCGGAAAGACAGACAGCAAGGTTTATACAAATCTCCGCTGTTGAAAACTAAATGTTATTCTAAAAGAAATGTGAGATAATGTCTAGATGTTTTTTATAGTGGAGATCAAGTTTATAAATTGCCTGGCTGGGCTGATGAGACAGTGGATTGCGCAGTCAGATGGAACAGAGTAAATAGGCATTTTAACGTCATAGATTTAGCCGGTGGTAACTTGTGGAATAGATACCAGCTGGAATTCGGTTTGAACCAATTAGCATTTAGGATTAGACCCACCCATTGTATAAATAAGGGATAATCAACAAGGGGCTATGAGTTCTATGGAAAATAATGAACGACGTGGAAGGTGTGTTCCACCACACTAGTGGAGTGTACTGTAACTGACCTTCCAAGGAGTTGCATTATTTTCCAGAGAACACTGAGTGGATTATCCCTTTAATACCATGGCTATAATTTAATACATTTGCCGCTAGAAATGTGTTCATTTGCCGGTAGAAATGTGTCAACATCCACTGAAGTAGCTAGCTATATTATTATTATTATTAAGTTTACTAGATAGCTACAGTAGTTGTCATGGTAAACAAACAAACAGACTTGCTAGTTTAGCTAACAAAACCATCAGTCCTAGCTTGCCATTATGAAAATCAAATTCAACAATGCCAATAATATTTTCAATTCGACTTTTGCTTTCAAAAGCAGCTCAAACATTGAACATGTAAGAATGAACTATATCCATTGAATTCTACTGTGCAAATACAGTGCATTATAGGGAAATAATGCACGTTCTAGAATGCTCTACAAGCCAATCAGAAACAAGTTTCAACAATCCTGTGGTATAATTAAGCAATATGGCATGGAGGGGTGCGGTATATGCCCAATATACCACAGCTAAGTGCTGTTCTTAGGCACAATGCAACGCAGAGTGCTGGATACAGCCTTTAGCCATGGTATATTGGCCATATACCACAAACCCCTGAGGTGCCTTATTACTATTATAAACTGGTTACCAACGCCCTGCTGATAAGGGTGGGTCGGTTGTACTCATGGATAGGACAATTTATGTAAATGAGTGTCATAGACAACTGCTTGACATCAACACCTTTTACAAGAAACTCAGAAGTGACCCCACTTCCCAATTTCAGTACACTATCTTTACTGTTCTATATGTGTATTTAAGTTCTCGTCAAATCACCAAAAAAGAACACGACTTTTTGGCTATTCAACACCCTAAAATTGCCACTTTCTATACTTTGCCGAAATTTCAGAAGAATGTTACAAAAGCTCCAGGGCGCCCTATTGTAGCGGGCATTGATGCAGTAACATCCCCTTTATCGACTTTTGTTGACTTTTTCATTAGACCACTGGCAAAACAGCTCCCCTCCTTTGTAAAGGACACCAGCAGTATGATCTCTATTATTGAATCTCTTCATCCTCTCCCTGATTGTACTTTGTTTGTTACTTTTGATGTTGAGTCGTTATACACGAATATTCCACACGAGGGCAGTATTGAAGCCATGGAACATTTTCTTCTGCAATGTGACCCTAATGAACTACCTTCCAGTGCATACATTATAACATTGGCTGAAATAGTACTCACACACAACTACATCATGTTTCTAAATTATTTATTTATTCAGACGAAGGGTACTGCTATGGGATCCCCTATGGCTCCTAACTATGCTAATTTCTATGTGGGTTACATGGAGAAACAGTCAATTTTCAACCCTCTCAAAAATGTTGTCTTTATTATTTGGAAACGGTAGATTGATTGTATTTTTGTTCTACGGAGGGGTGATTCAAAACAGCTCCAGGCATTCCATGCTTTTCTCTTAACTCTTGTTCTGAGTACCTGAGATTTACTATGCAATCTGACACAGGTCATATCAATTTCCTTGATCTTCTGATTTTGTGTGAGGATAATGTTCTATACACTGATCTTTACAGGATGCCTACTGATCGTAATAATTTGTTGAGGGCTGACAGTTGTCACCCGCTTCCCTTGAAAAACAGTTTGCCCTACAGCCAATTCTGTCGAATCAAAAGAATTAGCAATAAACTATCAGATTTCGAAAGAAATATGGTTGAGACGCAAAGAAAATTCAGGTCAGATTAATAATGCCAATGGTCAGATTAATACTGCCATTGAGAAAATTCAAAACAAATCGAGACATGATCTTTCAAGGACTGTCTCGCAAAAAGAAGCATTCTTGCGTTCTAACTACACGAGATCAATTGGTAAACTCTGATTTACCACCCCAAAACATCCCTGCACAACGTCTATTTGCGCCTCTACGGGATGGAAACTACAAGTGTAATGGCTGCGTTCAATGCAATGGCACTTACAAATGTAGATCCTTCTAACACCCCCAAACAGGGAAACAGATCCCAATCAACGGTGTTATCACATGCTCCACTAAGGCAGTTATTTATGTTATGACTTGTCCTTGTGGGGGGGAAAAAAGCGCGATTTAAAAGTATGAATCTCGGAGCATCTTAGCATAATTAGGTGCAAAAACTCGACACACCCAGTCGCAGCCCATTTTTTTGAAGTCAACCACTCCATTTCGTCCCTAAATTATATCGGCATCGAACATTTTATTGTTAAAACAGAGGCTGCCTGGATCTTTAATTTAAAGACCCTTGCTCCCTTGGTCTCAATGTAGACTTTGATCTGAAGCCATTCTTGTAATTATTGTGATTTTGCTGTACATTGTAAATGTTTGTAGGCCTATGTAGCCAAATTGTACCAATGATCGTATGCTGTCCATTCAAATTTTTTGCATGTTCTGTTTATCTGTGAATTAACCAATGATATCAGGCCACACACGGCCATGATTACAGACTCCTGCTGTGTCCTTCGACACTATAGAAACTAGTGATGCAGTGCTTGTCTGTCGAAACGTTGGTTATTCAATTATTGCATCTGAGCTCCTAGAGTGTGCTGCTCTCCTTTTCTTTACCAACATAATTAGAACAGTAAAAATTAATTTTTGGTCATACCCTTGGTACTGTATATGGTCTGATATACCACGCCTTTCAGCCAATCAGCATGCAGGGCTTGAACCACCCGGTTTATAATCTGTATTATTCAGTGCCCCATGAAATGACACCATATGTAGATTCTACAAACCCTACGGAGTACTCCCAACCCCACTTTTATGTTGGCACAAATAATATTTGTTTCACTATAAGCCAATATGTTTTTCATATACAGTGATTTGCGTTGCGGCCTATGGAATGGGTGTAGTAAAAGGCCAGCAACACTCCGTATTATTTAGTGCCCCATGAAATTACACCATACATAGATTCTACAGACCCTACTGAGTACTCCCAACCCCACTTTTAATTTGGCACAAATAGTAGTTTTTTCAATATAAGCCCAATATTGTCAACATACCACTCAGAACATTGTATTTTTCATTAGTGGTCTTAAAATAATGTTACAAAAAAATTACAAAATAAAAATAATGTATCCATTAATTCCCTCTTGCATTTGCTTATAAGCACAATAAAAATCGGCATTGATTAAAATGTAATATCTTTTGAATTAGTTATCCACCTTGCAATGTTTTGAAATGCGGGATTTTATTTTGAAGGTTTCCTCATTACCATAGTAAAGTGACGTTATCGTTAGTGCTACTTGCAGAATAGCGGTTCTGTTATTTTGGGCGTACAACCACCTTTAGTTAGGCTTTAAATATTACTTAATTAATGTATTGCTTTGTGCAATCATAATGGAGTTCGGTATTAATCGATATTTTTGCAGGTGACGCATCTGCAACATGAGAGAAGCTTCAAGCCGCCGCCTACAGGCTGATTTTTAATGTGGACTGTGTATGGGATGCTTATTTGACAGCGCACTGATGTTCTCGTTGCCATCAATGATTTGACTCTGACAGTCATATTTATTGTCGATATCATAGAATTCATCGCGCATTTCATGTTTTGCAACGATATGCGATAAATTCGCAGAAACTCTTCCTTTTTATGGCCTCGGTGGCACGATTTTGGATGTCTGCATACACAAATTCCAAGCCCTACGGTTACGAAAATACCACACCATTTATGTCCACCCGACAGTGTTCAAGGGTATTGGGCTTGGGTGATGCTGTCTCCCCGGGAGTACATACACCCGTGTCCGGCGAGCCTAACAGGGAGATCTTCGAGGCCTGCAGAAACGGAGATGTGGAGCGTGTGAGGAGGCTTGTCACACTGGAGAATGTAAACAGTAGAGACACTGCTGGCAGGAAATCCACCCCGCTGCATTTCGCCGCTGGTAAGAACAGTTGATACAATGTTGCTAGGCGCAGGAAACATCTCGCTACAATGTTTCACACTGCGAATGTAACATGTATAGCAGACAATGTAACAATAAACGCTATACAGTTAATAGTTTATTGTAACAGAATAATCCAGACACAAAGGCGTCTGTACAATGTGCACCCACAATATGCACCCACTGAATAAATTGATTAATAAAGGACTTATTTTGAGGATGTATAATGTTATTATCTTGTGTTATTATACCTGCTATTTGATTTATCAATGTATTTATTAATAAGCAGTAACAGTCATTTTCCAATTATGAAAATGAATCAAAGCATAATCACTGAGTAGGTCAGCTTATGCCTCTTTGTGGACCAGGTGCACCTATAAATCCATACAATCTCTCTTATTCAGGATTTGGCCGCAGGGATGTGGTGGACTACCTACTACAAAATGGAGCCAACGTGCATGCCCGGGATGAGGGAGGCCTCGTATCCCTCCACAACGCCTGCTCCTTCGGCCATGCTGAGGTGGTCAACCTGCTCCTGCACCACGGGGCCGATGCCAACTCCAGGGACAACTGGAACTACACACCCCTCCATGAGGCTGCCATAAAGGGGAAGAGCGATGTCTGCATAGGTACAGTTGGAAAATATACATTGTTTAAGCACAGTGACTGACTGTTCTCTTATGGCTTCAAGTATCATGGTCACATCTCCAGAAGACTCAGTCATAGATACACTTTTGTAAGAGCCAAGTATGGCAACTTTGGTGTGCCCTCTTCATATTGTTGGTGTTGAACATAAGCTATTTGTTGATGTATTGTAAATGCTGATATGGGTGAATTTGGTGTTTTAGTGCTGCTGCAACATGGAGCAGAGCCAACGATTCGTAACACAGATGGGAGGACAGCGCTGGACCTGGCTGAAGCGTCCACTAAAGCAGTGCTGACCGGTGAGTGGGAGGAACATGTTCCTCACAAGCACTTTATAAGCACTACTTTCATGATTGAGTTAGTTTGCACTAATTGCATCTATTTTGGGCATGGGAACAGAATAAAACTGTTCCTCTGGGAACCAAGAGTGACAGAACAGGGAGCTGAATGAATCAAAACAATGAAGCACAAAAGTTATCTTGGAATACATGGGCTAATATGTTTCCACACTTTCCTAATCACAGGTGAATATAGAAAAGATGACCTGCTTGAAAGTGCAAGGTGGAGTATATCTCAGATTTTTAAATGACCACCATTCAGATGCCTTGTAATCGACCGTGACCATTATTGTGCTCTACATTTTCTAATACATGTGATGCTTTCATAGGAGTGGGAATGAAGACAAGTTGATGGCCCTTCTAACACCATTGAATGTGAACTGTCATGCCAGTGACGGTCGGAAGGTAAGTCACATGCTCTCCTAAACTATTCATGAAGAGACTACATTTTTCATCACCTCTCTAACATTCCAAATGCACTAAAATGAGGCAAAAGACAGATATTTGTGCCCAAAACATGTTACCAACAAAGAGTGTGTCAGTCTGGACAAACAAACAAATCCATTTTAAATGGTCCTTTGTGGTGCATCTTTCAGTCCTCCCCTCTGCATCTGGCTGCTGGCTACAACCGTGTGAAGACAGTGAAGCTGCTGTTACAGCATGGGGCTGACGTCCATGCTAAAGACAAAGGGTACGACTTGGCCTCTATGCTTTCGTCATCCTCGTTGAATCATTATTGTATGCTGCATGAAGCCATTGTATGTCTTTCCAATACTGTGCCAGCAATTTCTCTGATGGATGACTCTCTCTGACATTTCAGTGATCTGGTGCCTCTTCATAACGCCTGTTCCTATGGACATTACGAAGTCACTGAAATTTTAGTAAAGGTTTGTCTATAACACATTCTTCCTGTATGTAGCTTATGCATTTTTGTGTCACTGTGTATCAAATCTACATTTCTTAACCCAGAGGCCCATTGAACATTCAAATGCTCATTGTACAAGTCTCGTTTGACCCCCTGACTCTCCATCGCTCCTCCCTTGGTAATGCAGCATGGTGCCTGTGTGAATGCCATGGACCTGTGGCAGTTCACCCCCCTGCACGAGGCTGCCTCTAAGAATAGGGTGGACGTGTGCTCCCTGCTAGTCAGCTACGGAGCCGACCCCACTTTCCTAAACTGCCACAACAAGAGCGCCATTGACCTGTCTCCCACCTTGCAGCTCAAAGAACGCCTGGCCTGTAAGCCATGTTTATTTTTTCCTATTTTGTATTGTTCCTATTCTTTATGAACCTTATTTTTTTTGCTTAGAGGTCACCTACAATACTCTAATAAAACTTAAGGAAACAAATGATTTTAGGCAGGGGGCAACATCTTGATGATGAGCCCTGTTCTCCTTATGTAATAGTTGAAACGCTCTCTCAACTGACCTCTTGTGTCTGTGACAGATGAGTTCAGAGGTCATGCCTTGCTCCAGGCAGCACGTGAAGCTGACCTGCCCCGCCTAAAGAAGCACCTGTCACTGGAGACCATGACCTTTAAGCATCCGTTTACCCATGAAACTGCACTGGTAAGACACCTCACTACTGAGTCGCCAACGTGCTGCAGATTATACAGTCAATGTATTGCAGTGCTAGTATCACATAGATTGTTTTATTTCCCTGGGTTACTCTGTTACTCTGCTTGCCTTTCATCTAAGTAGTGTTTTAAGATCTAAGATATGTTTTTAACAGCACTGTGCAGCGACATCTCCCTATCCCAAGAGAAAACAAGTGTGTGAGTTACTGCTGAGAAAAGGGGCAAACGTGAATGAGAAGACTAAAGAGTGAGTACTGCAAAGTGTGTCTGTGACCCTTATCCCACAAGCAATTAACAGTTACTTTACTCTTATCATTGTTGAAATGACAGATATAAATTAGTCTGAATGCTCCGATAAGACTCTGAAGTAAAGGTTGATTGTTTTTCCATTGTGCAACCCATAGAAATAGAATTACAACCACTTTAACTTGTTTGTGATGTAATTTGTCAAAGCTTCCTGACACCCTTGCACCTAGCTTCTGAAAAGTCACACAACGACATAATCGAGGTGTTGGTGAAACATGAGGCAAAGGTAAGTTCAGGTGTTATCATAGTGTTATTAATAGCATAAAGATCAAGCCAACGTGTGTATTTGCTCTATGGCCTGTGATTCAGCGAGTGTGTGTGTGTAATCACGGTGTGTGAAAATGGTGCATCAGGACTTTAAATGTAAAAAAGATCATTGGTAGCACTAGTGCTCCCAACTTAAAGTTAGGAGCACAAAATAAAATCTAGGAACACCAGAATATATACAACTCTGGAAAAAATTAAGAGACCACTGCAAAAATATAAGTTTCTCTGGTTTTACTATTTATAGGTATGTGTTGAAATGAACATTTTTGTTTTATTCTATAAACAACTGACAACATTTCTACCAAATTCCAAATAAAAATATTGTCATTTAGAGCATTTATTTGCAGAAAATGACAACTGGTCAAAATAACAAAAAAGATGCAGTGTTGTCAGACCTCGAATAATGCAAAGAAAATAAGAAAATAATGCAAAGAGAATAATGCAAAGAAAATATGTTCATTTTTAAACAACACAATACTAATGTTTTAACTAAGGAAGAGTTCAGAAATCAATATTTGGTGGAATAACCCTGATTTTCAATCACAGCTTTCATGTGTCTTGGCATGCTCTCCACCAGTCTTTCACATTGATGTTGGGTGACTTTATGCCACTCCTGGCGCAAAAATTCAAGCAGCTCTGCTTTGTTTGATGGCTTGTGACCATCCATCTTCCTCTTGATCACATTCCAGAAGTTTTCAATGGGGTTCAGGTCTGGAGATTGGGCTGGCCATGACAGGGTCTTGATCTGGTGGTCCTCCATCCACACCTTGATTGTCCTGGCTGTGTGGCATGGCGCATTGTCCTGCTGGAAAAACCAATCCTCAGAGTTGGGGAACAATGTCAGAGCAAAAGGAAGCAAGTTTTCTTCCAGGACAACCTTGTACGTGGCTTGATTCATGCGTCCTTCACAAAGACACATCTGCCCGATTCCAGCATTGCTGAAGCATCCCCAGATCATCACCGATCCTACACCAAATTTCACAGTGGGTGCGAGACACTGTGGCTTGTAGGCCTCTCCAGGTCTCCGTCTAACCATTAGACGACCAGGTGTTGGGCAAAGCTGAAAATTGGACTCATCAGAGAAGATTACCTTACTCCAGTCCTCTACGGTCCAATCCTAATGGTATTTTGCAAACCTCAGCCTGGCTCTTCTTTGCTTCTCATTGATGAAGGGCTTTTTTCTAGCTTTGCACGACTTCAGCCCTGCCCCTAGGAGCCTGCTTCGAACCGTCCTCGCCGTGCACTTCACCCCAGCTGCCGTTTGCCATTCTTTTTGTAGGTCACTTGATGTCATCCTATGGTTGTTGAGTGACATTCGAATGAGTTGGCGGTCATCCCGCTCAGTAGAGTTGTTTTCGCCCTCTGCCGGTCTGTAGCTTTGTTGTCCCCAATGTCTGCTGCTTGATCTTGTTGTTATGAACCGCCGTCTTTTACATTTTAAGGATGGAAGCAACCTGACGCTCACTGTATCCCTCTGCCAGTAAAGCCAGAATTGAACCCTTCTTTTCCTCACTCAAAACTTTCCTTTTCAACTCTTTTGGCATGGTCAATAGTTATTTTTTTATTAATATTACTTTTGAGGTACTATTAGCACTGTTTTAGCCATCCAGCAGGTCCTATTGCAAGAGGATAGTGATGACCACAACAGTGGTTTTTATACTTTCCTCGTTAAATAAGATTTGGTTCATGTGATCACCTAATCAGTACCTAATTCAGTAGAATGAGGTGTGCCTGTGTTGGAATTCAACAGACACTGGAATGGAATGGCTGTCATACATGTAGAGATGCTGATTTAAGAAAAATTTGCAGTGGTCTCTTAATTTTTTCCAGAGCTGTATATATATTTTTGTATTGCTTTAAATAAAGCAAGAGATCAGTCATTCATTCAGTCATTCATGCTACGATCATTGATCTTCTAAAGAAGCTATCCATTTTCCTTTCTTTCTGTGCCCCCAAATGTTTAGATATACTGGGCTGTTAGCTAGCTAGCTAGCTAATGAGGTAAACATGACTGAACAAGGTGTAAACAAATGCCCGTGAGTGGTTTTGGAACGACCCGCAACATGGTTTATGAACAGGGCCTAAAATGATATTTTTGGTCAGGCACTCGGAAACAACTATCATTACGACAGTTATTATCTGGGTGATTTCTTTATTATTCTTTTTTTGTACCCCTTTTTCTCCCCAATTTCGTGATATCCAATTGGTGGTTACAGTCTTGTCCCATCGCTGCAACTCCCATACGGACTCGGGAGAGGCGAAGGTTGAGAGCCATGCGTCCTCCGAAACACGACCCTGCCAAGCTGCACTGCTTCTTGACACACTGCTTGCTTAACCCGGAAGTCAGCCGCACCAATGTGTCGGAGGAAACGCCGTACAACTGGCGACCGTCTCAGCGTGCATGCGCCCGGCCCGCCACAGGAGTCGCTAGAGCGCGATGGGACAAGGACATCCCGGCCGGCCAAACCCTTCTAACCTGGAAGACGCTGGGCCAATTGTGCGTCACCTCATGGGTCTCCCGGTCACAGCCGAATGCGACACAGCCCGGGATCAAACCCGGATCTGTAGTGACGCCTCAAGCACTGCAGTGCCTTAGACCGCTGCGCCACTCGGGAGGCCCTGGGTGATTTTTTTTTCTCCCCCTGGTCGCACTGGTGCTCCCAAAATAAAATGTCAGGTCACACAGGAAAATATCAAGGAGCATATGCAACCAAAATGGTCACACTTCAGAGCGCTGGGTGCAATGCATGTGATTCTTGATAATACAAATTGTCAATATTTTAATTGTATCTGTCCCTATCAAATAAATGAATTACTATTATCTCCCTATAGGTCAATGCCCTGGACAACCTGGGCCAGACAGCCCTGCACCGTGCAGCCCACTGTGGCCACCTCCAGACCTGCCGTCTGCTGCTGAACTCAGGCTGCGACCCCCTCATCATGTCTCTACAGGGCTTCTCTCCATCCCAAATGGGCAATGAGCGCGTGCAGGAGATACTGCATGGTAGGCTGGAAACAGCTAGGAGTATGTTACATGTTACACAAACAGACAGGAACCTGGTTTGTGATGATCATTCAGGGTTGAAATATTTGGTCCCATTTCAAGTGTCAATACATTTCTTATTTGTCTTTCAGAGGGAACTCTGATTGGAAACTCTGATGTTGACCGGCAGTTGCTAGAAGCCTCCAAGTCTGGCGATTTGGAAATTGTTAAAGTAACTAACTCCAGTACATTTAGGCAAAATCTGTCAACCAATGTCATAATGTTAACACTCATATTACAACTGATTTGTTTCAAATGGTAACAGCATGTCTGCTGTATTTATGTGTGCAGAAGCTGTGCACCATGCAGAATGTGAACTGTAGGGATGTAGAGGGCCGTCAATCCACCCCGCTCCACTTTGCGGCGGGGTATAACCGTGTGTCTGTGGTGGAGTACCTTCTACTGCATGGGGCTGATGTCCATGCCAAAGACAAAGGGTGAGCACAGGTCTTGACTTGGGCCAGGAGCTTTTCCTGGTCAGGTCATTTGGTCAGGAAAAACGCAAGGCTCTACCTATTCTCCAATGGGCCTGAGTTCGACTCGTCACTCAGAAGGATAATGCGTGTGCGTCTCTCTCGCTCTGTGTCCTGCAGTGGCCTGGTCCCCCTGCACAACGCCTGCTCCTATGGTCACTATGAGGTGGCTGAATTGCTGGTCATCCACGGGGCTGTGGTCAACGTAGCTGACCTGTGGAAGTTTACCCCTCTGCACGAGGCCGCTGCCAAGGGAAAATACGAGATCTGCAAACTGCTGCTGCAGGTAAGGAGTTAGTTTCTTTTCAACTGTGTTGGACCATCTGCAGTGCCACTTGGATTTGAATGATTGAGTCATCACTTATCCTGAAAACGATGACGTTTGAAAGACCAGATACATCCTGATCCTATGCTGTAGAACATAAATAATACAGAGTCTTCCTGTTCTAGCTTCCTGTTCTAAACACACACCGCTATCTCTCCCCTCCCAGCACGGTGCAGACCCGACCAAGAAGAACCGAGATGGGAGCACTCCACTGGACCTGGTGAAGGACGGGGATACTGACATCCAGGACCTGCTAAGAGGAGACGCTGCCTTGCTGGACGCAGCCAAGAAGGGCTGTCTGGCCCAGGTCGAGAAGCTCTGCAGCCCTGATAATGTTAACTGTAGAGACGCACAGGGAAGGCACTCGACACCGCTACACCTGGCAGGTCAGTCAGCGCACTGGAGCTTTCTGTAAGGACAGTGATCTTGAACCCTAGTCATTGAGCGCTTCAGGGTGTACAAGCCATTGTTCCAACCAAACATTCATAAGTTTAAGGATAAGTTTAAGGACCAGGGTTTAGAATATTTATTGAGGAAATGGAATGGATGTGAGAATCGATGGATTCAGGAGGGGAATAAGAATGGACCGTGTGAAGCAGAGGGCTGTAGATGAAGGATCCAGGGGGGTGGACTCTGTAGAGTTTGGCTTGGAGTCCCAGATAGACCTCATCATCAGGCTGTGGTAGTTAGGCTGCTGTGATGGCAGGCCCCCAGGAGATCCTTAGAAGAACTTAACATATACTAGATATAAGGAGAGGGGGTGCAAAACGTGATAAGGCTAGTAATGCACAGAGTTGTGTGACATGTACTGCAGAACAAAAAAAAAAAAAAGAGGAGGAATATTAGTTTGGTCAGGTTTAAGTAGGGTGGCAGTGGTGATTAAGGAGAGTGAGGACAGGTGTGGAGGCTGATTAGCAATGAGTTGCAGCTGATGCTTGTTCAGTTACTAGGGAGCTGTGTTCAAGGCAACTAGTTATGGTGTTGCAAACGAGCATGGATGCTGATTGGCAATTAGTAGCAGCTGGTGCTTGTTCAGTTACTAGGGAGCTGTGTTCAAGGCAATTAGTTAAAATGTTACATTCAAGTCTGGTCTTCTCTCCTGAATTTGATTGATTCAACTAACTTATCATTAACGGCTGAAAAGCTGGCAGCCCTTCAGGATCAGGAATGGACTATGGATTTAGGAGAATAACATTTTCAGGGAACTGCAGTTTCTGATTAAACTAATTATGTGTCTATTGTGTCAGCTGGCTACAACAACCTGGAGGTAGCAGAGTACCTGCTTCAGCATGGAGCGGAGGTCAACTCCCAGGACAAGGGAGGGCTCATCCCCCTGCACAATGCTGCCTCCTACGGAGTGAGTCCCAGTTACCCTAATCTACTGTACACACTCACAGTACAATCACGCTCTAAAGGTGTCCATTGAGTCTTCCTACTACCTGTACGGTATGATTTCTCAGAGTCACAAAAGTAAACAGGATGTATAGAGACTTGATTGATGTGCCTAGGTTTTTTAATGAAAAAGTCAGTGTCTCATACTTGGCATACCAAACACTCACCAAGTTCCTTGTCAAAGGCTTCTTTAAATGTTTTACCATGAATAGGTTTCAGAGATGACGCATACCTCTGTGCATTGATCGAAAAAGGAGTCTTCTGCGGCCTCTAGAACAAGCTCCTTTTAAAAAGAATGTAATCATGAATTGGTTTCAGTGATGAGGCGAGGGGTGAAGTATGTATGTTGGCCAAATGATTAGCACTCATGTCTCTGACACAAAAGGCCAGTAGATTGCTTTGATCAGACCCTTGAGAAACGAGGAGCTCATCACACCACAGTCCTCCCCCGCCGCCTGGTGCTTGCTCTAACGCCACACACAGATTGGATCCTCTCAAATAAGGGGGTTTCGTCTGGATAATCTCATGCATTACATTCACATCACTGTGGTAGAAAGTAGTGCAATGTAGAATTGCATTACAGATATAAGCTGTGGCCAGAGAAAGCAATGCAGTTGAGATTTGTTTAACCTAGGGTGATGAGATTTTTTTTTAAACAAATATTAGTAACCCTTTCTTTCCCTATAGATGTTTCTCCCGCTTTTGTTTGCTTTGTTTCCTAAGTCTGTGTTGGTTGGGTTTCCATCTCAACCTAGAGAGTAGAAGAGAAAGGGTGAATTGACTTGTAGAAGTCATGCCCAGTAGAAGTCATGCCCAGTAGAAGTCCTATATCTGAGTCTGAGATACAAGTTGACCAAAAGAATGAGAGAAAGTTACAAGACACGAACCAAGAGCCAAGTGGAGTCCATTGTGTTCTCATTTGCAGCATGTGGATGTGGCTGCTTTGCTCATCAAGTACGACGCATGCGTGAACGCCACAGATAAGTGGGCGTTCACCCCACTGCACGAGGCAGCGCAGAAAGGGAGGACCCAGCTGTGTGCCCTGCTATTGGCTCACGGGGCTGACCCCGCGCTCCGCAACCAGGAAGGCCAATCACCGCTGGACCTCGTTACGGTATCCATCCACACACACTCGCTATCCTGTCTCTGAGCTGACAACCCCTGCCCAACACAGGAGTGTGTGGGAAGGGGTGATAATCTGTCATCCTCACATCCACCACACTCACCTGTTTGTCATGTCTACTGCTTTTGGATACATTAAATCCCTCAAATCACAACAACACCCTGTATATTGTGTTTGTGATTCGTGTTAACAGCATGTTAAACATCACCTATATAGAGACTTTGGAATTCTTCCCAGAGTTTTGCTGTTGTTGAGGAGATTCAATGTCTCTCAGTGCTTGTTTTCTACACTCCCACATGGCCTGACCTTCACCAGCACCCACTGGAGGACATTACCTCTTTCTAAATAGAAGAGAGGATCTGTCTCTGGCAATGAAATGCCTGGAAAGCTCTCTCACTCTCATCATACATTGCTAAATGACTTGAATGGACTGTATGCATGTCAAGGGTTTGCTCATATAGGGGCATGTAGCCTTATTCATACTTGCTATGCTCTTATGGGTTATTGATGTGTTGGCAACGATCGCTAATGCAGTCTAATCGTGTTCCTCTGCATGGTTGTACTGTGATTGAGTCTTCAATATTTTGTGTCATTCTTCATTTCTCCTCCACGACTTGGTAAATTAGTGACAATGCCTCTTTATCCTTTCTTTACTTTCTACAGGTGGACGATGTTCGTGCCTTGTTGACAGCGGCCATGCCACCTTCAGCCCTACCCGGTTGCTATAAACCCCAGGTAATCAGTATGCCTGCCCCTGTAGGGGTGGTAGTCCCCCCCAGCCTCTCAGCCAACTCCACACCTCTGTCCACCCTGGCCTCCAGCAGCAGTCTGGACAACCAGGCCACTGCCTCCACCTGCACTGCCTTCCCTGAGCTACCTGCTCTCCTGGGGCCCTCTGGGGCTGTGGGCACGGACAAGAAGGAGGGTCCAGGTGTGGATCTGAGTATCGGACAGTTCCTCAACAACCTTGGACTGGAACACCTACTTGAGATCTTTGACAGAGAGCAGGTAAGCTGAACTCCAAAACGCAGCTTGCTTATGTCTGATAACTTAGATAAACCTCCTATATAAAAAGCTTAAAGGATGTCTTCAGCATCTGATGTTCCACAATAGGCCTATGAAGCATTGCTTAAGATGCTGAAGGTGAGATCTGACATTATTTAAAGTTCACAGTTTTCCCTTTTTGAAGATAACTCTGGATGTCCTGGTAGAGATGGGACACAAGGAGCTGAAAGAGATCGGTATCAACGCCTACGGACACAGACACAAGATTATTAAAGGAGTGGAGAGACTCATTAGCGGACCTCAAAGTACGTTTACACACTATAGGATCCATGCTGTTGTCCATAACACAGGGGTTCACTTCAAATGTATGTTAATGTGTTTAGCCTTTTCAAAGTGTTTCAAAGGGCTGTTAGTGAATGCAACCCTCAAAGATTTAGATTTTTACTTGATCTTTATGTATGAAAGAACAGCATGCTTCGATTGAGGTTCACATCCTGAATGAAGTTTTTAACTACTGCAATACTAAAAGAAGTTCACGTTCATGTGATGCAGGTTTGAACCCGTACCTTACGTTGAACACTGCAAACAGTGGGACCATACTTATCGATCTGGCATCGGACGACAAGGAGTTTCAGTTGGTGGAGGAGGAGGTACAACCAACAAGATGACTCTCTATCAAAGTCTTGCATCTTATTTATCATATCTTGTTGTAAATTAGAAAAAGTTGACTCGACTTTGAGTCTTGTTTTTGAACAGCTACAGAGTACGATCAGAGAGCACAGAGATGGAGGCCTTGCCGGAGGGGTTTTCAACAGATACAACATTGCTAAGGTACAGTTGGCTGGTTTCTATCCACATTAGGAAGGCAAGCTCTGTTTTATCATGTCCTCTTTAATCCAATTCCAATCCTAGACCAATTAAATCAAAGTCCAGTTAATGGAAGTCATTATACAACCGTACATTCAGTTCATGTTATTACAACTTTATTAACCACGATTGGAAGAGTATTGTTAATTCACACTTTTCCCCTCTTGAACTGCAGATCCAGAAAGTGTGCAACAAGAAGCTTTGGGAGAGGTACACCCATCGAAGGAAGGAGGTCTCAGAGGAGAATCACAATCACTCCAATGAACGGATGTTGTTTCACGGTAAGAGAATAATACACAGAATAGCACATTCCAATGAGAACCCATCATCCATGACACTCCAGAAACCACTTGGGTCATGTGTTCCAGGTTGATATTTTCTTGTCTGCATGTTGTTTGCTTTCACAAGTGTTTTGGACACTCAGAAATCCTATTTACAACAGCTCATTCCAACATTGATTCCGCTCTTGACCCAACAGGTTCGCCGTTTGTGAACGCCATCATCCACAAGGGTTTCGATGAGAGGCATGCTTACATAGGCGGCATGTTCGGAGCTGGCATCTACTTTGCTGAGAACTCTTCTAAGAGTAACCAGTACTTCTACGGGATAGGAGGCGGCACAGGCTGCCCTCTGCACAAAGACAGGTCCTGCTACGTGTGCCAAAGGTAAACCAGCCATCCAGTCCTTTTGATGTTTCTCTACCATAGTAAACCATATCAAAGCTGAGGTCTTAGTCACCACAGTTCAACTAAACCAAGCCATAGCTGGGCACAAATAACACACCAATGAGAGTTTCACATGGTTAAGAATGGCTCAAATGTATCAAGTGGATTGATTGAATGGAGGTTCCTTCCTGGCATCACATGTGGCATGATATCTGATTGTCTGTGGTGGGTTCTATGGGTCTTCAGGCACCTGCTGTTCTGCAGGGTGACCCTGGGCAAGTCCTTCCTGCAGTTCAGTGCCATGAAGATGGCCCACTCCCCTCCAGGACACCACTCTGTCACAGGGAGGCCCAGTGTCAACGGACTGGCACTGGCAGAGTATGTCATCTACAGAGGAGAGCAGGTATGGTAACTAGTGGCTTTGGCAACTGCATTAGTGTGCGACTTTCATTTTGACACCGAGTCAACAACTGAAGTCACAAGTGTCACTGGATTGTCATACTTTGTCATCAACCTTACATTACATGTGTTATACTGCTCCTCTTGGATCTAATGTGTTAATTGTATGGTAACATGCCCTTAGGACTACCAAGCAGTTAAAATTGGCTTGATCTGACACCTCTGTAATTTACTCCTCTAGGCCTATCCAGAGTATTTGATCACCTATCAGATATTAAAGCCTGATGCCTCTGCGGATGGATAGAAGTGGAACGGAGGAGGGAAAACAAGTTAATTGTACAGAAGAACATCTCAGCCTCTTTCTGTTATGTTCCGTGCAGCAACAGCTTTACTAAATGCATGCACAAACATGTTTTTTATTTTTTATTTGAAGCACTTGTTTTTTTTTGGGGGGGGGGGGGGGTGGTACTGTAGCCGTTCTAACAAATGCTGTGTAGGACAACTACAACTGGTTAAAGTCTAACAGTGTAATAAATAAATAAATCTGTGTTACATTAGGGCACATTGCAAAAAGTTTAAGTAGTTATTTTATGAAGACATTGTATATACTTTTGTACTAGCATGTTAATTTATTTAAAATGTTTATGCCCAAGTTATTGTCAGTGAATTACGTATAGAATAAGTATTTCATCGAAACCACTAGTCAAAATCTGTGTTTTCAAAGTCTGCCTTGTAGGGATGTCTGAGTCATCTTCATTAGGACACATCGTAGCAAAACGTTTCAAAGGCTGTGCAATGGGAAATGAACATTTCTTATTGGACAAGCCTAGATGGTCACTCGCTGTTTCTGTCAGTTTTCTTCCATTGGTGCCTGTTGCCTAATGGCTTATTTATCCAGTATTGTAAATCAGCAGCTGTACACAATTTTGATCATTATCCAGTTAGAGGATGGATTGTTTGGGCTACATAGTGAGAGTTAAAAGATCAGGATCAGTGTCCTTTCATTCAGTAATGGTGGCCGCAGCGAAGTCTTCAAATTTGAGGACTCCTAAATTGTCATAATCTCAAGCCCCTCTACAAAGTATGTTGCTTTGAAATCTGTTTGTTTTACACAACACACAAGGGTGATGAGACTATGCAGAGAAAACAAAAAATGTCGTTTGTCAATTTCCCTCTGTCAGTGTTTGGATGCGCTGTGTGAACCTTGTCTGTCATTTAAAATAATGTGAAGTTAATTTACACTAATATGCTGTGGTTGCATAATGTTCTTGCAGCACTTTGTTCCTTTTGCATGGTATTCCTGTCTGGTTAACTCTCATTACGGAGTTGTAAGTCATGTTTAAACAGTGTTTGTTTAGTGCTACTTGGATGTATCATGGCTGGATCTGAGTGGGAATAATCTCCACACAAACAGCCACATCAAAATAAATGAGCTATTTGTGAATCCTTGGTTGTAAATTGTTTGCAGCCTACTGTAAATAATTTTTTGTAGTTGCATGTAATCACTTATGTACCAAACCTAGCTGTGTCTGTTTTTGTAAACTATCATTGTTAATTACTCATTTTTCACTTGTCAGTATGACGTCTCCCAAGATAGTGGCTATGTCCGATTACCCTTAAACCGCTTAACTGCACTCATTTTGGTGTTAGATCTAGTAGAATTCGCTCGTCTTTTCCGACACATGTTTGACAACAGCTGATAATCAGATAAATTGATGCACTGTACCAAAATGAACGAATGGCGGGAATCAACGCAATCACGCATTAGATGACGTATTCGGAGTACTATTTTCGAAATGTCACATGGCCTACTATAAACTTAATTTTTTCGCATACTATTTAGTACGCTAGTATGGATATTATATATACAGCCACTGTCTTCCTTCCTACCTAGGCTACCGCTCTCCTGCCGCACGGTTTTTATGAGCCGCTGAGTGTCCAATAGATGGCACCGTATCACTCTTCAGTTCAAGATGTTTTGACATGCAAGAGAAGACATTAAGGGCCATAGGAGTGGGCTTGTTACAGTTTAATGTAGTGGAACATTTTGTCCTTTCTGAACTGAGATATACACTACAAAGCAGGATAGCAGAATTAGTGAGACAACTTTGGTCAATTCTGAGTTCAACTTGGGATAACCATTGACAAGAAGGTGGCTCACCTTTTAGCCAGGCAGGGGAGAGTCGGGCAAAAGTAACATGCCCATTTTCTCATAACACAGAAGGTACAATGATCCAGTGGAGTCTGCGCGTTCCTAATGTGGAGGTCGACTTACCTGCAAAAAAAACAGTTCAGTCCAACCATGTTCCACCAAATTAAACAAAACGTGGTTTTGAGCGATGGAAGTAAAAAAAAAAAACGATGGAAGTGTTTTTCGGTTGTAAGAGGTGTGTTTAGTTGTTCAAGGTTCCAAACATATGTCATTTTCTTAACCCATCTAGTGACTAAATGACAGCATTGCTTTCAAGTATAATGCTAGCTAGTCTTGGGTGTTAGTTAGCCTGGGGGAAGTTACAGGACAGATGGGTGGGACGAAAGTAACAATATAAACTGATGACCTCGAATAAAATAAAGTTTAAGCACAGGCCATTGTCTCCTCTAGTTCATATTGCGTTTATTATGTTAGCAAAATATCAACAAGTGACTGAATGTTTGAAAATTATGACATTAGAATTATGCCTTAATCAATTCACTTGGTGGTTAAATATATATTTAATGATTCTCGAGGTCAATTACCTTATATCAAGCCATGGAAGTGTGATAAGCATGATGAGTTTGCCATTTGTGAAGGGAATAAAGATGTTTATAATAATATACAGTGGGGAGAACAAGTATTTGATACACTGCCGATTTTGCAGGTTTTCCTACTTGCAAAGCATGTAGAGGTCTATAATATTTATCATAGGTACACTTCAACTGTGAGAGACTAAAACAAAAATCCAGAAAATCACATTTGTATGATTTTTAAGTAATTAATTTGCATTTTATTGCATGACATAAGTATTTGATCACCTACCAACCAGTAAGAATTCTGGCTCTCACAGACCTGTTAGTTTTTCTTTAAGAAGCCCTCCTGTTCTCCACTCATTACCTGTATTAACTGCACCTGTTTGAACTCGTTACCTGTATAAAAGACACCTGTCCACACACTCAATCAAACAGACTCCAACCTCTCCACAATGGCCAAGACCAGTGAGCTGTGTAAGGACATCAGGGATAAAATTGTAGACCTGCACAAGGCTGGGATGGGCTACAGGACAATAGGCAAGCAGCTTGGTGAGAAGGCAATAACTGTTGGCGCAATTATTAGAAAATGGAAGAAGTTCAAGATGATGGTCAATCACCCTCGGTCTGGGGCTCCATGCAAGATCTCACCTCGTGGGGCATCAATGATCATGAGGAAGGTGAGGGGTCAGCCCAGAACTACACGGCAGGACCTGGTCAATGACCTGAAGAGAGCTGGGACCACAGTCTCAAAGAAAACCATTAGTAACACACTACGCCGTCATGGATTAAAATCCTGCAGCGCACGCAAGGTCCCCCTGCTCAAGCCAGCGCATGTCCAGGCCCGTCTGAAGTTTGCCAATGACCATCTGGATGATCCAGAGGAGGAATGGGAGAAGGTCATGTGGTCTGATGAGACAAAAATAGAGCTTTTTGGTCTAAACTCCACTCGCCGTGTTTGAAGGAAGAAGAAGGATGAGTACAACCCCAAGAACACCATCCCAACCGTGAAGCATGAAGGTGGAAACATCATTCTTTGGGGATGCTTTTCTGCAAAGGGGACAGGACGACTGCACCGTATTGAGGGGAGGATGGATGGGGCCATGTATCCCGAGATCTTGGCCAACAACCTCCTTCCCTCAGTAAGAGCATTGAAGATGGGTCGTGGCTGGGTCTTCCAGCATGACAATGACCCGAAACACACAGCCAGGGCAACTAAGGAGTGGTTCCGTAAGAAGCATCTCAAGGTCCTGGAGTGGCCTAGCCAGTCTCCAGACCTGAACCCAATAGAAAATCTTTGGAGGGAGCTGAAAGTCCCTATTGCCCAGCGACAGCCCCGAAACCTGAAGGATCTGGAGAAGGTCTGTATGGAGGAGTGGGCCAAAATCCCTGCTGCAGTGTGTGCAAACCTGGTCAAGACCTACAGGAAACGTATGATCTCTATAATTGCAAACAAAGGTTTCTGTACCAAATATTAAGTCCTGCTTTTCTCATGTATCAAATACTTATGTCATGCAATAAAAAGCAAATTAATTACTTAAAAATCATATAATGTGATTTTCTGGATTTTTGTTTTAGATTCCGTCTCTCACAGTTGAAGTGTACCTATGATACAAATTACAGACCTCTACATGCTTTGTAAGTAGGAAAACCTGCAAAATCTGCAGTGTATCAAATACTTGTTCTCCCCACTGTATATATATATACACACACCAGTACTATATATTAGCGAGGCCTTCCTAATTGACCTGGCCCAGGTATCCTGGATGGATATAGATCTCATTCCGTCAGTAGAGGATGCCTGGTTGTTCCTTAAAAGTAATTTCCTCTCAATCTTAAATAAACATGCCCCATTCAAAAAATACAGAACTAAGAACCGATATAGCCCCTGGTTCTCCTCAGACTTGACTGCCCTTGACCAGCACAAAAACATCCTGTGGCGTACAGCATTAGCATCAAATAGCCCCCGCGATATGCAACTTTTCAGGGAAGTTAGGAACCAATATACACAAGCAGTCAGGAAAGCAAAGGGTAACTTTTTCAAACAGAAATTTGCATCCTGTAGCACTAACTCCAAAAAGTTTTGGGACACTGTAAAGTCCATGGAGAATAAGAGCACTTCCTCCCAGCTGCCCACTGCACTGAGGCTAGGAAACACTATAACCACCGATAAATCTACAATAATCGAGAATTTCAACAAGCATTTTGCTACAGCTGGCCATGCTTTCCATCTGGCTACCACTAACCCGGCCACCAACTCTGCACCCTCTGCTGCAACTTGCCCATGCCCCCCCCGCTTCTCCTTCACACAAATTCAGACAGCTGATGTTTTGAAAGCGCTGCAAAATCTGGACCCCTACAAATCAGCTGGGCTAGACATTCTGGACCCTTTCTTTCTAAAACTAGCCGCCGAAATTGTCGCAACCCCTATTACTAGTCTGTTCAACCTCTCTTTCATAACGTCTAAGATCCCCAGAGATTGGAAAGCTGCCGCGGTCATCCCCCTCTTCAAAGGGGGTGACACTCTAGATCCAAACTGCTACAGACCTATATCCATCCTGCCCTGCCTTTCGAAAGTAT